CCTTATTGGGCTTCCCTCACAGCTCAGTTGGTAAAGAATCTGCCTGTGATGCAGGAGACCCTGGTTGGACTCCTGCATCAGGAAAATCTGCTGGAGAAGGGATAGGCTACCCACTCCAGTATTCTTAGGCTTCCCTTATAGCTCAGCTGGTAAAGAATCCACATGCAAGGCGGGAGACCTAGGTTCAATCCCTGGGTTGGGAAGATCCCCTGGAGAACAGAAAGGCTATCCACTCCAGTATTCTGGCCTGGAGAATCCCATGGACTTTAGTCCATGGGGTTGCAAAGAGTCAGGCACTGAGCGACTTTCACTTTCATTTCACTTCTATTTCCTTATTAATAAGTTCAGCAAACCTTTGTGAATCTGTATGAGAATTATATTGTCTTAAGATTTTGAAGATTATACCTTTGGCAACAATCTTCTTACCTCTTTTGTGAGTTATTGTAACTGTTTACCAAAAGTTTTCCTTCCCTGTAATCATTCCTGTAACTGCCTATCAACCTTGCATTTCACGTTTAAACCACCTCTACAGCAAGATAAAATTGCTTGCCGTCAGACGTGCCCAGACTCAGTGTGGCCCTCAAGGCCCTTTTTGTTACTTTAATAGGGCTGTCACAGCAAACTACCACCAACTGGGTGGATTAAGACAACAGAAGTTTATTGCTTCACAGTTCTGGAGGACAGGAGTCTCAAATCAAGGTGTCAGTAAGGCCAAGCTCCCCCTTTGAGTTTTAGTGGAGAATCTGTTTGTTGTCCTATCTAGCTTCTAGTAGATGGTGGCATTTCTTGGTTTCTCATTCAAGATTTCAGTTTTCACATCAATCTTGCTAGTGCCTCTTCTCTGAGCCTGCTCCTCTATGTCAGATATCTTTCTACTTCACTCTTAGAAAGATATTTGTCAGTGGGTGTAAGGCTCACCTGGATCATCCAGGATTATCTTATCTCAAGGTCCTTAACTTAATTACATTTGCCAAGATTTCCCCCCCCACCCAACAGGTTACATTCACAAGTTCTGGGACTTACTATATAGACATATCTTTTGGAGGGTGCCATTCACCCCATTTATACGATCTATATCCAGCCCCAGCTCAGCTATCCATCCTTACCTGCCAGTGCTTCTCAACGGTATTTCTATTTCTTGATTCCTCCCACTTCCCCTAGCCCATGAACTCTGCTCATTGCAACTCATTGTTTTTGTTGTTTCTTTGGCTTCTCTACCTAGCATGTCCTCCCTTTTCTATTTTTTTTAAATCATTTATTTATTTACTTATTTAATTTCTTACAGGGCTGGCTCTTCCTTGCTGCTGGGCTTTTCTCTAGTTGTGAGGAGTGGGGGCTACTCTTTAGTTTTGGTTCACCAGCTTCTCGTTGCTGTGGCTTGTCTTGTTGTGGGAGCACAGGCTCTAGGGCAGGTGGGCTTCAGTAGTTGTGGCTCCTGGATTCCAGAGCATAGGCTTCAGTAGTTGTGTACCTGGGCTTAGTTGTTTCTTGGCAGGTAGATCTTCCTGGATTAGGGATCAAACCCATGTCTCCTGCATTGGCAGGCAGATTCTTTACCACTGAGCCACCAGGGAAGCCTTCCCTTTCTTTTTTACATGACTGCTTTGCAAGCTTCCTTCCAGCCAACTTCCCACCCACGCCCATTCCAGCCCATCTGCTGTCTTCCTTCTGCGCTCACATTGTACCATAAGTATGTATCTATTGCTTACTGGATTTTAGTGCCTTTTGTCCCTCTGTATATGTTTGTGTCCCCTACAGATTTTTTTTTTTTTTTGTAAAATGTATGGACTCTGTCATCTTTGACTTTCCACAAGTTCACATAAATAACAGCTAGCACTAAGGGTGGACTTCTCCAGGGGATCACCAGATGGTCAACACCAAAATCAGATTGATTATATTCTTTGCAGCCAAAGATGGAGAAGCTCTATACAGTCAGCAAAAGCAAGACCAGGAGCTGACTGTGGCTCAGATCATGAACTCCTTATTGCCAAATTCAGACTTAAATTGAAGAAAGTAGGGAAAACAACTAGACCATTCGGGTATGACCTAAATCAAATTCCTTATGATTATACAGTGGAAGTGACAAACAGATTCAAGGGATTAGATCTGATAGATAGAGTGCCTGAAGAACTATGGACAGAGGTTCATGACATTGTACAGGAGGCAGTGATCAAGACCATCCCCAGGAAAAGAAATGCAAAAAGGCCAAATGGTTGTCTGAGGAGGCCTTACAAATAGCTGTGAATAGAATAGAAGTGAGAGGCAAAGGAGAAAAGGAAAGATATACCCATTTGAATGCAGAGTTCCAAAGAATAGCAAGGAGAGATAAGAAAGCCTTCCTCAGGGATCAATGCAAAGAAATAGAGGAAAACAATAGAATGGGAAAGACTAGAGATCTCTTCAAGAAAATTAGAGAT